AGAGAGAGAGAGAGAGAGAGAGAGAGAGAGAGAGAGAGAGAGAGAGAGAGAGAGAGAGACGAAGACATTCAGAGAGGGAGAGAGACATATCTGCTTGGCAGCCATAGTCGCAAAAGAGGAAGAGATCTGTTGTCTACATTTTCGCGATTGCCAAATAATTCTCCTGTGTGTTTGTGAAGTGTGAACCTGGCCCGTTTTGTGTGCATTATACATGCATGCTGTGTGAAGAAAGCAGGTCTGACTTTTCGTCTTGTAACACTTGCATGGCAGCCCTTTTCGTCTTGTAACACTTGCATGGCAGCCCATCCACGTGGGCATTACTCCACAGCCTATCAAGATCGTACTTGACGTGGTGGGAGTCGCTAATGTAAAAGCAGAATGCCATCCAGACAGAATGACAACACAAAGGAAGAAAATCTAAACGCCACATTCCAACTTCCGTCCACAACCAGTCTGTTTACCACATTCGTGCACACCCACATAGTCATACACACACACTTCAGAATCGTTGACGGAACACATGCACACCACTGGAGCAAGGGCGTGTACTTGAAAGGAACAGTCTTGTTTTACCTTCTGTGTCCTCAAAACAAAGTTCTTCAGCGCATGCACCGCACTCAACTGAGCACCGTGCTTCTGCAACGAAGCTGCTACCTGTGTGCATGGAACCGCGGCTACATTTGCTGCTGCTGCACGTGTCCCACTGCCCTGGTCAGACAGTCAACAACCACATTAACAAACATGATATCACTCCCTCGAAGCTAAGACTTCAGAGTACAAACTGGGAAGACATCAGGAAACTGACTTGGATCATAAGTTGGATATAAAAAAATTCCACATCAAAAATAGGCACCCCTAGACCCTACACACATGGTTAACCCTACACACATGGAAGGCAGGGTTAAAGTCAGATTACCCCGACAGCACGAGGACGATCTGAACAGAGACCATGACGGAAAGATGGAGGGGAAGGGAAGATGAAAATCACCGTGAATGACTGTAACCCAGTTGGTCGGGCACCTGTGTCCTACAGGTTCCTGTGTCGCAAGACACAGGCAGCGGGATCAAGTCCTGGTTGGCTCGGTCGAGTGCGTTCGCACTCACTAAAAATTCCCGCATTACAGCAAGAATCCATGATATTGGACTCCAGCACATTCACATCGCCTGCCAGGTACTCCACGAGGGAAAATCGCAAGGCTGTGTAGATGTTGTATGGGGGGTCCCACCTATTGAGCGTCCTGCTGGCTGTGCTTACGACATACACAGTTAAGAGGGGGGGTTGCTGAACAACTGGGTACCATTGGGATTCTCCCAGCTTGGAATGCCCCCTGCTCTGCCCTGGGTGTGTCCGGGAGTGTGATTAAAGCACTGGCCGCCAGGGTAGGGCCTGCCTATACCTCAGCCTGCACAATCTTTTGCAAGGAACATGAATGTGGACGAAGCATAGAAATCCAGATTGCAAAATCACACTGAAGTCCAAGTAGTCAAAGCAAGAGCAGATCGCACAATGGAACCGAGTAACCATCCATTTGAGAACGATACAGAAGAATCGTGAGTCAATGTCCAAGCCCAATCGGGCAACACCAACAGCATAACCCAATGTAGCTCTCTCTCTTGAATGGCGCCAGGCGCCCTACCTACTCTACAGCCTATCACTACAACTACAACATGAAAGCAACCAGACAACTTGACGACCAGCGAGTGATGATGTCAACACCAATGCCGACCTCCCTCTCCACCAGGTACGTCTCACTCTTCTCCCTCACTCTCCCTTGTTATCCCACACAGCGCCCTTCACCTCCGAAGAACCACCTTCGCCCTTCCTCCTCTGTACCTACAGGCAGCCCGGCTATGGCCGCCAGCGCCCTGCGCCCAGGCAGCACCCTACTGCTTAGCGCTTGCCTGCCTCTACCTCAGCCTAGCGCAGCGCAGCACCTCGCAAACGCGCAGCATGCCGGCATTGCCCGTAATGGCCAAGATCCCTGCCCACTCGCCCTCCCTGCCTATATGCCAGTGTTGAGTGTGGGCGGCCTCCCTTGAGCCTGTGCCTGGGCCCCAGTACCTGTACCCAGCCCCGATGCAGTTGGGGGCCCAGGAGATGCAGTTGCGCCTCTTTCATCAAGGCCTGCGGCCAGATTCAGATAGTGGACCGGTTTCTCATTGGCATTTTCGGCCTCTATATCCAGCATGCATTGTCGGCCTCACGTTTATGTGCCCAGGGCCTAACCA